ACCCTTAACAAAAACCCTCCAAAAAAAAAAAAAAAAAAAAGACGAGAGAGGAAAAGTGAGAAAGCAAACCACCAGGTCCAGGACTTGAACTGTAGTCAGTCATGTGGGAGTATCCAACACCTTAACCATCACGCCACCTGCTGGTTCCCGCAAATGCAAAACAATTTTTTAAAAACTTAACTTTATTTATTTATGTATTTACTTATTTTAATTTGAACTAAGAGGGACAGTGTGAGAGAGAAAGCGAGAGAGAGAAACTGAGAAAGCAAGCCACCAGGTCGGGGACTTGAACCGTGGTTGGCCATGTAGGGAGTCCAGTGAACTTAACCACCATGCCGCCACCTGCTGGCTCCATCCCACGAATCCAAAATTTAAATGATAAATTTCAAGCAGCACTCCTATTAATAAATCGAAAAGGCACTAGTGGCTCTGAGTATTTCTCCACGAGCTACTTTCATGCTGTTTGAGTACCTTCAGGAAATTAAATTATCGACATAGTAGGAGGAGGAGTGCACTGAGGAACAAACCAACACCCCCAGCAGTTTGCGGTTTGCTGAGGAACAAACCAACACCCCCAGCAGTTTGCAGTTTGCAGTTTGCTAAGGCGAGAAAGAACTACACAGCTTTAGAAGAGCACAGGGAGTTGCCAGCTTTTCCTAATGACAACAACATCAACAGAGGGATACAAAGTTGCCTGAGAAATAAACTGTTCACCTCTGGGACTCAAATTAGACACTCTCCGCCCCATTAGAAAACGCTGGATAATGAACTTAGAGAGTAGAGAACCTGCCAGCCACGGGACCTGACCTGCCATGGTGGCGTGCGTATACAGTTCTGGCTGTTCGGAAGATAGGCAGGAGGATCACAACATGGCGAAGCCCTGTCTAAAACAAATTAAAAAAAAAAAAAAGAGGGAACCAGCAGTTAGCGTAATGGCTATGTCGCTGGATTCCCACGTAGTCGACCGCGGTTCGTGTCCCGGACCCGGTGGCTTAAAACTCACGCCGGGCGCGTGTGCGTGCGTGCCCAAGATCCC